AAGGTTAGGACAAGTCGTGAGTCTAGTCGAGTAGACAAAAACAACACACCCAAAATTTTTGAACTGAGTGGTTTTCTGTTCGATTTTGGCATTTCAAAATAAAAATGGTTCGGTTCGTGGTTCGGTTCGAAGTGCGAAAAAAAGCGATGGTTCGGCTCAAAAACCCGTTCGGTTCAAAACCGGTTTGCAGCCCCGAAAAAAAAATTAAAGTGAAACTACCTGTAAAATAATTGTATGATGGTATATCTATAGATATTGTATATGTTTGTATCTGCCAAACTAATTTTTTACGCGTATGCCTTTTAAACTAAACAAAATACTTTATTAATACAGGTATATAATTGTATTTGAAGAAATAATTTAAGTGAGGTAACTCCTCTGCACAATAATTTACTCAAAGCATTTGATTCAGTGTGTAAGACCATAATTTTCGGCAAGCTACATTTTGACACACGCCTGGAAAGTTAGGTTTTGAGGCAGTTGCGTCAAAACAAGGACATCTTTACACAGCCTGACATATTCGCCTATATAAGGATGTAGACAAAACTGAAAACGATATGAAACTTAAAGGGGGAGAGAAGAAGGCAAAGCATGTCCAGTTCAATTTGATACAGCAACGAATAAGCAATCAAGCAACAAATATATTTATGTATATGTACACACCCTTACACACACATATATTCATAAGTATTGTTCTCGTAAATTTATACACCTGCTTCCTGTTGTTGTTCTACATGTAGAAAAGTCACGTTTGCGGTGAGAAAACTTTGTTATTTTATTTCGGCAATTTGCATATCATTTTAGAAGTCGGAAATTCAATTGGTAAAATTCCATGAAGTAAGTACATATAAGGAAATTATAAAGCAAAAACAACAAATAAAGTTAAAGCCATAACAACATATACGCATGCCGTGGCGACAGTTTTAGAATTATAAATGACATGAGTTTATTTTTGAGCCAAAATTGTCAGCATAAGTGGTTCGTTAACTAACCATATCATTTTCGGCATTACTACTACTGCGGTCTACATGGCGTATGAGTAGCGTGTCGTACACAAATTGCATGTGATTAATATAAATAATGACATGTTAATGTACGCAAAATATACACACTGCCTTTGAAAACATTATTGAAGGGGAAAAGACAGACAAAAACAACAACAACAATTTTTGTTGAAAGCATTCGCCATTGCTGATTGCTTTTCGTTTCTGCTGCAGGCTTTTCGCTTTGCCTATAAATTTACGGTGCCTATAAATCTAAACAAATGACTTTATTGTTTCAATATTTTTAAATTCAAGCATTTTCGATCTTTACTTATTTGCAATAATAGTGGTCTTTGCCTAGAACTTTTTGTGACTTTTTGATCTTTAACTTTAAGTTTATCATTCGCTTTGCCTTTTTGGTCTTCTTTTTTGCCTTCAGTACTGGTCTTCATTGAAAATGTCAATGCCAATGTCAGCACCAAAAAAAAAAAAAAAAAAACACCCAAAGCAAACTCATTGTCGACATGTCTTGTGCGTGGTCTCATTGCTGGTGCCCTTTTAATATTCTGGCGAATAACTTATTGCACATCTTTTGCCAAAAAAAAAGTTGGACAAAAAAAAAATGTTTACAAAGTGCTGCAGAGTTTTTTGTCAAATGTGCTGCTGCAGCACTCGCAAGGGCATTATAGCCATTGACAACAGCTGCTAAAATCTTTTTGCCCGCGAGTATTTTTTTTTTTTTTTGGATTGCCTTTTAAGTTGGCATGTATTTTCTTGTACTGGTACATTTTTCCTTCTTTGATATGTATATATGAAAGAACTTCTTTGGCCACAATGCAGTATTTCTTATAAGCCAATTATACATGCGGTCGCACTTAAAATTGACGTCTAGGTGTCTAGATGACCGGCGGAAAGAAAGACAAGAAATGATTTGTGAAGGTCAATGGGAAATTTTGTGTGTTCTTTTTATTGAAACCCTAAATTTATTAGAGAATAAACATTGCATGATAGTTCGAATACTCTACATTTTGCCATTTAAAATTTTACAATTAGATTTTTTTTGTGGTTTAAATTAAAATTGTTTTGCCCGCAAAATTTGGCAAAATTTTGCCCATTTAATGAAGTCCAATAATGTTTGTATTTGTAACTAAAAACTAAATTTTTCCGTCAAAGAAAAGACTGTGGCCTTAATATTTCAATTCTTTCATTTCCTCTCAGAAACTGTATTCAAAAAAAGGCCTATATTCTCCAAGATTACTGCTGCACATTAAAGGCTGAGATATACATATGCAATTGATATGGCAAAAAATAACAATAATTTTTCTAAAGTGAATAAATTAGGTAAGTACAGATTCATAAATTTAATCTTTACTAAAGCAAAATGTTAGAGCCTTACTAAACAACAGGGAACAAACATAACAGTTATTCATGAAAACTGTCATGGAAAAATTCACTATGAAGGAAATGTTCTATAACTAAGTGATATATACCAATCGCTTTTTTTTTCACCGAGGCTCAAATTTGAAAATAAATTTTTATGTAAATTAAGAAAATAACAATTATTTTTGATTTATAACAAATCCAAAATAACAATTATTTTTGATTTTTATATTATATGTCTTAGATAACAGTTATTGAAGACTTTTATTTATTTAAATCATCGATAAAACTCAGTCAGTGAATTTTACTTTTAAAAGTCATCAATATTTTATTTTTTAAATCACTCCTATAAAAGACATTAATATTTTTCGCAGTTAAGAAGGTGTTGGGAAACAAAAGTTTACTGCGACTTATAGGTATGATTTAAAAAATAAAGGTCAGTTACTGATTTTTATCTATGACTTTTATAAATAAAAAAAATAAATAAAAAATAACTGTTATTACAGATTATTTAGATAAAACTTCAAAACTTTCAACTACAAAATCCATAAATAAAATCCCTGACCTTTAGAAATGTTTCCAATTTCAGCTGATGTAAAGGAACTTCGCCAACAATTCCCCGAACAGCTTGGCCAAGGCAAGCAACGCAGCCGTAAAAAGTGGAAATGGAAAAGCAAAACAAACTTAAAAAAAAAATGTCATAGCAAAGAGTGTTAAAAATTGTGTGTGAGACTTTTTGCTTGCGCGAACGGCAGGATCTGTGTTGATAATACTGGGAATAGTAGGCACAAGGAAGTTTGCACTGCGCCGTTGAGTAGAGATTAATTTTCAATTTGTATGCCACTGTGGTGCTGTGGAGGTCGATGGTGCAATCAGTAGCTACAACAGCAGCGATAAGAATGAGTTGAAGAAGAAAGTGCAGAAGTATTTTGTTAGCCTGAGCATTGCAAACGCTAACTGAGTAGGAAATTCAGCGGCTGCAAATAAAAAATTAATGCACTATTTACGTGTGTAATAAGCTACTCCTTACATACACATTGTATATAAAATTATGCTGCATGAGCTGAGTTTTGTTTACGTGCTGCTGCAAATTCTTTGCGAATTCAATACCTCGTAAATCCGCAGTTGAGATTATGAATATTTTATTGGAAAGTAAATTAACTTTTTTGGGTTTTCCTCAGACAGCTTGCGGAAGCAAATCGGGTTTTTGTAGTTGAGTGACGAAATGCCACTTTGTTCAATGCCTTTCGAAGTTTATTTCTTTACTTTCATTTCTTTAACTTTTAATTTAAGTACTTGAGCAAAAAAGGCCACAAATTTTTCACTTCTTTTTATTGTCTTTCAGTTGCTTTACTCTTAGCATCGGAAGGTAGTCAAGCTGCATAAAATATGTTTACAGTATGTGTTTATTTCTCTTCTGTCATTCGTTTTAATTGGGTTTACTGTCTGTTTTATTTTCTTTATGATTTTCATTTGTTTTTACAGCTTTCTTATTGTTTTCCTTGCTGAGGCTTATCAAGAGACCAATTATGCTACTCCGTTTCTGCTCGATACATGCTTGCATCTCTAGTTTGTCTCATAACCAATATACATACATACATATGTATAGTTGGCTTGTTAATATGTTATATTTATTTTATCATTTTTCTATCTTTATCTCTACCCCATCCTATCCCCTTTTTTTCTAATACCCATAAAAATATCGATAACAAAATCGATACAAATATCGATAAAAATACCGATAGCAAAATCGATAAAAATATCGATAACAAAATTGATTAAAATATCAATACCAGCTAGTTAATATAATCTCATATTTTCTATTTTATTTTTTTTATCTTTGTCCCTACCTCTAACGTTTTCGTTCTAACACCGTTAAAAATTTCGATAACAAAATCGATAAAAATATAGATATTAAAATCGATACAAAACTGAAAAAACTTCGATAACAAAATTGAAAAGTTTCGATAACAAAATCGATGAAAATATCGAAAATAAAATCGATAAAAATATCGATAACAAAATCGCTTTAAATTTTGATAGCAGAATCGATTAAACAAATTTCGATAGCAAAATCGATTATTATATCTGTAGTAGTATTGATAAATATGTTCATAAATATATCAAAAAAAAATATCGTTTTTTTATATCGATCAAAATATCAATAAGAATATCAATTAGTACAAAATATATATATAAATACATCGATAACAAAAAGAAAGCATTTGTACGCTTAATATCCAAAACTGTTTAGAATTGGTTTTCATGAAGCTACTGAAAACCTCGGACACGGTTGTAGTAAATAGAACTATTTTATTTATTACAAATTTTAAGCGAAAATACTACAAATGCAGACTACCGTGCAGATGAAGGTTCAAGCCATTAACCATACGTTAACTATGCTAATTTTAGCTAACTCAAGCTTACCTTAACTCACCCAAATCAACCTGTCCTAGATTTTTATACCTAATCTAACTTAATCGTAACTAACTACTTAACATGAAAAATCCTTTACCACTGCGACGCATATTATTCAAAATATTTATTAGTATTATACTTTGTTCTCTACATATCTTTTGGCCCATAATTTTTTATTCTACATTTTCTCCTTTCATATTTGCTCTTCTTTTTTCACAGTTCTGCCAGCGAAGACGTACTCACCGATAATCCACACCAGGTGTTGCTCTTCTATTTGGCGCAATGTTTCCTACACGAACTAATAAAAAATTACATACAGGTGGTTCTGATGGACATGTCCGGTTTTAACGGTAAGTGGTTACGTGTTCACTCACGCTGACACATTCGTTTGTCCATTTCAACTTATTTCCTGTTCGCACATTATATATCTCTTGATGTACAATTTTGCTCTCAAACGGCATTCAAACTTTGATCCATACTCACTTTTCACCTTATTTTGTTGTTTTTACGATTGTCAACGAAAATATCGAAAGGTTTATGGCGGTTACTTTTATTATACCTGGCAGCAATTGTAGTAAACCGCTTGAGCAAGTAAACACACTTTATTATATGCAAGCTTATATGATTGAAACGTTTTTATAAAGTTGTGTAGTATAAATAAGGGGAAGCAAAAAAAAATTAAATAAACAAAAAATGATTAGGTACTTTAAGTGCACACGAATAGGGCTCTGAGTTGTTGCTAGTCTCATTTCAAAGTCTGATTTAAAGTGATGTTGCATGGCAAGCACTGCGCATTTGAAAAAAAAAACAAGTAATTAAGTTTCATTTGGCGTTTTGTTTTAATCCTGGAAAAACTTTTTACTTATTGCCGAATGGTCTAAAGTCCCTGGGAGAGATGTAGGGTCTCTTAACCTGGCTACCTTTCAAGCAACTTGCGGAGCTTAGAATCAGAAGGCCGTGCAACACATCTAGAGTATCTTTCGTATTTTTCGGGTGCGCAGGTAAAGTGCGCTCTGTCTCCGCCGCTGACTTAAAGATATTCAACACTATTCAAAGTTATGTACTTATGCACCTTAATTTGCCTGCGAGTACGCCAACTTACCATTTAGTTCAATTACTTGTCTCGTTTTAAGTATTATAGCAAACTTCTTCAAGTTCGTTGCGCATTGCATTCACTTTCACAAATAGTTTTGCTACCAAAATACACTCAGAAACTCTGAGCAATGCACCAACAACAATACATGTTTGCATAAGTATGTATTTTGACTCAGTCGCATTGCACAAGTTTGCTTTTCATGCAATTTAAATGCCTTGCACGCGCTCTGATTGCATTGGGGTTAAACTTTCTCTGCTATTTAGATGCACAAAATGCGTTGGCACATAAAATTTCAATTACGGTAAGATTTCCGTGAATATCGTTTACTACCAACTATTTACAAAATTAAACTATAGGAAATACAGTTTAAAGTTGTAAGGACAAGATGCACACCATAATTAGCAGGCGAAGCTCGGCCATACACTTAGAAAAAATGTGAGTTCAAATTTTTTTTTATTGTTGAGACTTTTGAAATATTTTGACACTTTTCTAAAATTTTAGGTACTTTTTGAAAATTGAAATCTCGGGACCTCCTGGTACTTTTTTAATTGAATAGAAAATTTTCAGAATTTTCAGATTTGCGGTGATTTTTGAGGTTTTTTGTGGATTTTTCAAATTTCAATCTTATTTTTTGGATCTTCCGAGATTTCTTAAACTCATTCATTTAATTTATTTAAAATTCTTATACAAGTGACAGCTCTACTAAAGCAGGCGCTTTTGCTCAAATTTGTTTATTTCAGGTTAGTAATAAAATAAAATGTATTATAAAGCTTTTTAAGACCTGGGTTATTTTACAACCATATCACTTTTAAGCGTAAAGTGTTGCTATATTAAGTTTACACTTTTTTACTTTGGGTCGTGCGTGTCTTGTTACTAACAGTGTATATCTTGCCATGTTGGTTGCCTCTAATATATGGCCGCCCTAGGGCCGAGCTTATTGGGCTTTTGGGAAAATCCGCCACTGACTTGCTATTCTAATGAAAAAATATTTGATTCTATCATTTGCGGTATTCTTTTCATGTATGCTACTTGCACTATTTTGGACCTGTGAGTAAGTGAAAGGAAGTTTACTAACTTGAGAAACACATTTTAAATGTATTTATGCAGCGCTTTAATTAAAAGCCAATATAAATTTCAGTCTAAACCGTCTACAGTTCTTTGTGGTAACTTTAATAAATTCATGGGGTTTATAGAAGTCATTCCATATTCTGTGTAACTCAACGGTACTACATAGAAAATTTTGTACTCCTAGTTTGCCAGACTTTAAATTAATTTGTATGTTGTTCAATCGGATTTTGTGGTAAGTATGTGGAAATATGTTTCAATAGTGAGAATATCTTCAATGCTTTTAACGACCACCCTAACTTATACCCACACATGTTTTAAATATGCTTGCAAATCTGTTGCATTATTATTTTCAATTAAATTTCATTACACAAATAATGTGTTCGGTATTTAAATTGCGATAAATCTTGTTAAATGGTCATTAACGCAATTTAAACTCATTTTTTTCACATTTTTCAAACAAGCAAGTAACGTACGTGTCTGCTTCCATATACTTACATATTTATATAACGTCGTTTAAAGTACAAAACCTCGTAACTGATATTTGTGCCAAACAAGATGCTTGCTCTCCGGAAGCTGCTGGCATCAAGCCCTCATCAATTCATAATAAAACACCGATACTTAGACATAAGAAGAAGCGATAATTGGGGTTAAGCGAGGGAAAAGTTTCGAAATAAGAAACATTTTTCTCTCTCCTACAAAGATTTGGCAACCTCACATACGAGGTTTTGCATTTTCTTCATACGCGGTTTTTTACTTCAAACGACGATATGTATGTATATATGTAGCTACGTACATTTACGCTCAACATAATTGATTGCTTTAGTAGCTGGCCACAAGGTGATACTATTTACAAATGAGATAAAATTGCAATTATGTTTAATATTCATATTCTGCGATTGGTAAACCAGGAGACATTCATATACATATGTATGTATGTATGTATGTATGTGTATAAATAATGCTTGCAGAGTAAAATAATCATGTTGTTCTCCTTGCCGTTGGAATTAGGTTTAAGAACTGATCTTAGGTTTAAGGGCTGCAAAAGGTGATGCCTTTTTCCCACAAACCTAATTTATCATAATCCTTTTCCCTCTAGGGTGTTACGTGCAACCGTGTCCATTGAATGGCCTGGGATATACGGCTATATTCGAACGGCCATCTTAGCCCTTGTGTGCCCAACCGGGTATCCGGGTACCCATCGACATATATTTACTGTATCAAATAATTTTTTTCTTCGATATTTTTTTTTTAATCTTTCGGGATCCCCGATTTTACATGGAGAAATGCATTTAAAATATTTTGTACTTCTTTTTGGCCCAGAAAATGTTGAATTCGAAAAAAATGGAGAAGAAAAGTACAACACGGGCACACCCGGGTAATATTTAATTGCTTTCACTCAAAGCATCTTTAGTTTCTTAACTACATGTGCACCCACTTCTTTGCAGAAAATTGTGCTGGTCCCTCAAATCTCGGCAATGTCATCAGTCAAATATTGCTATGCAAACAAATAAGGCCCGATTTCAGTCAAATTGAATTAAGCAGCATTACAAAGGATTCACAGGACATAGCGGTGCTATTGTCCGAGATATAAGAGTATATGCCACAACATGACCCATATGTAACTGGGTGAGTAATGAAAAAGATCAATAGGCACATGGAGAATACGAAGAATGGGGAAGAATAACAAGCTGACACAAAAGAGCAATTAGAATTGTTGGTATAACAAGCGATTTGGGAATTTTGCAAAGTGCAGCTATGATTGTACGTCTGTTAATAAGTGCGCATGCATGTGTGTGAGTAAAGTGTTATGCGTTATAGTACGATTGGTCATTGTGCAGGAATCCCACACTTTAGTGGAATCGCTCACACTTGATGGAACAGCAATAATGGCAACGGTTGTGGTGATGTACGTCCGCGTGTGAGATGTTGTTAGAGTATATTCATACATAACATACATATATTTCTACGAATTTAGGTGAATGCAACTGAGCGTTAATGCAATGATATCTGCTAAAGCGCACCTGAGCTATTACCACTTTAGCTATCTACTCAGCATTGAAGACATGGTATATTTATGCACATACATACATACATACATATGAGTTTAAAAAGTATTCGTCTGCATTTTGTATTCATGCACATGTGCCTGTAAACATGACCACGTCTCATACCAACTGCTGGCATTGATGGATGCGGTTAATTGGATAAATTATTTTAACAAGTTGGGTACCATAGCATTCATCAAAGTAATCAGCAACAGTTCAGTTAAGGTCGAAAGTGGCTTTAGTTTAGGTATTTGTGTAGATATATTTATCTATGTATACATATGTTTTTACATGAAAGGAATTTATTCTGCAAAAGCTACAAATTATAATTGCATTTTATTTAAGTAATTAAATCGTCAAACTGCTTAGACTGTGTGTAACAGAAAAAAAAAATCCGAAAACGGAAAGGAAAGTGGGTGAAATCCGGATTTATGTCCGTTTAAAGTTTCCTTTTTCGTATACTTGCGGATCCGTTTTCCCACTAAAGTATGTCGCAAAAATGTACAGAGCAATTCTGGCTAAGATAGTAAAAAGTCTTTCGCAGGACAAATGAGAGACAGATGGCAAGATAGTTTGAAAGACTTTTGTAATTCTAGCACAAAAGTCTTAGAAAAATACTCTCACAATCACCACTCGTGGTGAAAATTTATTTTGTGAGAAAGCACTTGTATATCATTTAGCTCGCGTCGCGCCAACAGTCGCAATAGCCGAGAGCCCTGGCGTGCAATTCGAGGGATCCGAGTTCGAGTCCTGGAGCAGCGCATTTTTTTATTTTTTTGAATTAAACTTTTTTTAAGATTCGATTTTCTTTTCATTGTTAGATTGTATTGTTTTAAAAATAAATTTAATTTAATTTTTGACCGTTATTTTATGTGTTTTTTTTTCTTATTTGATAATATCTTTTTCTCTCTTAATTTAATTTTTTTGTAATTTTAAGATGTTATACTTTTAAAAAGAAAAATATATTTTTTTAATTTCATTTTATTTTTAGATACCTATATATATATATATATATATATATATATATATTCAAAAACGAGCCAAACAAAATAGGTATCTAAAAATAAAATGATATATAAATATATATATATTTCTTTTTTATTTAAATTTTTAGATTTTAGTGTTTATAAAGGAAAAATGTTTTTCAACTTCATATAATTTTTAGAAACTTATTTGTTAATTTCATTTGATTAGATTTGATTTTTAGATTTTGTTGTTTTACTGTTTTAAAAGGAAAAATATATTTTTTTTTATTTCATTTCATTTTTGAGATTTTATTTTATGATTTAATTAGGAACGAATTACCGCCATCTCTTGTCAAGTTTGTTTTGTTTTTTATTTTATTATTTTGGCTTGTTTTTTAATTTAGTTTTTTATCTAATTTAAGATTTTGTTTTAAAATTAAAAATATTAATTTTATTTTTAATTTTTCAAGTACTTTTTTCTTTTTCGATTTAATGTTTTTCTTTTTCTTATTAAATTTTTGGATGTTATGGTTATAAAAAGAAAAAAAAATTAGTTTCGTTCAATTTTTAAAAATATTTTGATTTATATGACATATTTTGATTTTCTCATTGAATTCCTCGTTGAATGCGCTTTTATTCTGCACTTCAAAGAAGCTTTTTCATTATTCGGAAAAAACAAGAATAACCAATCGTTTTTTGCGGCTGAGGGCTTACGGACTCGGGACCTGCGGAAGTTTCAATAAATATTTTAATACAGATACAAAAAATTAACGAAAATTTAAAATGTTTTCGGTACGTTTCCTGATACGAAAAATTTCCGAATACTGCACAATTGGCAAAATGTAGGTACGTTTTTCTGTTGGCTGGGATGTTATGTGCGTGCATATATATGTATATGTACGTACTTGCATATAAGCACATAGGAGTTGTTGTAAATTTGCGTTTGTATATGTTACGTTAAATTTCCGCATGGGTGAGCTTCGATTAACATTTCATTCATTGGTGATGTGTCCGAAAAAAATTGTGTTAAGAAAATAGTTTTAAAATTAATTTTTAAACTTTATGGTTGCGCGTTATATAATTATTGTTATTTTTGCAATATTTATATTTATTATGTATTCCTAATTTATGTTGTTATTCAGTAAGTCAAACTCATTTCAAGTCACTAAATTTTAGACCATCAATTAGTGACTCTCTTTGTGACTTGAGATGGTTCGGGTATTCAGATTTAATAGATTTAAATTGTTGAGCGCCGCTTAAAAATTGAAGTTAAAATGATCAAATTTAATATAAATAAAATAAAAGAATAAAAAAATTAAATTAAATGAAATCTGTAAAAGAACATAAAAAATTTAAAAAAAATATCAAAACATCGGATAGTCAAAATTTTTTCATAAAAAACTTATTGTCGCAGATCTGTCCAAAATGGAAACAGTTCAGAAAAGAAAAAGATATCCAGTAATCTAGTTTTAAAATTGTTTTTCATAAAAAACTTATTGTCCCAGAACTGTAAAAAATGGAACCAGTTCAGGACTAGTCCGAAAGTTCTGCAGAGGTGGCAATTTTCACTTCGTAGGACATCGCCATGTAAAAAGAGACTATTGAAAGCATTGCATTGGGATAGATCGAGAACCAGTACCGCCTCTTAAAGAGCTAGTTCTGCGCTAGTTCTGAACAAGCGCGATTTACTGCAGGATGCATGTGTATGTGTAAGCACGTAAGCTAAGCTAAGACACCAAATAAGTAGCAAGAAAGCAAATAAGAAAGTATGAGAACATTATTGACAAATACATAGTTATATGTAAACACACAAGTAATACAAATGTCAGTAAATCAAACGATAATGTCGGAAATACAATTTTATTGTTGTTTGAGCTCGTTTCATATGCATTAGCGTACCAGTGACCTTCCAAATTTGTTATTATATGTAGATTAGTGATGCCAGATCGAAAAAAAATCGATTTCTAAATCGATTCGAATCGAAATAGAAATAATCGATGCAGGAAGGAATCGTCAAAAAAAAATCGATCTCCCAAGCGCAATTTTGGCAGATAAGGAATTTTACTTAATTTGTATAAAGAAACAAAACACAGCGATCTGGTCAAACTTTTATTGTACATAAGTAATTTTCATAATGGTTTCGATATCTAGAGTTATTTGAGAAAAAGTTTGGAATAAGGTTTTTCTATACGAAGACAATGAACAATTTTACGACTACAATTATCAAAACCAATGTACTTTTATATATAAAATGCATTAGTTTGATATGAAATCTATGCATTTATCTATGAGTGTGCAATTGTTTTGCTTTCATCTATAATTAGCTCCATAATTCTGATTTTTTTTTTTTAAATTTATAGAAATTTGACGTGCTAAGTTAAATTTCATCCAATATTGAAAATCAAATGAAAGTGTTTACAGAAATTTTTCTAACGCTTAAGAAATTACAATGAAAATGTCACTAATAATCACATGCATATTTGTATGCACCCAATTTGCTTAAGTTCTTTCATTCATACCTACATACAAACGCAAACAAATCTAAACTCTAAAAGTGAAGTCCGCAATAATAGGTTTCTGTGGTTATTTAGACAAAAAATTATCCCGAGCTATCGCGGTAATTTACTTAAAAACTTAAGATCCGAACGATCGGAAAGTTGTCGCTAACTTGTTACAGAATAGCGCCACTTCTATTTTATAACTTGAGCGGTAAAGACCGGATACCTAGGAAAGATTGCCTGGTAGCCGAGAATCCGAATATTTTACCACCCAGAAAAACTGGTGATGACAGCGAATTTGGGCAAGACCAGGACATTAGCTGGCACTAGTTTTTTAAATAAATTATATACTGATTTATTTTTTATTGAAGCAATATTTTGTTTACCTCTTTGCAGTAGGGTTTTCATAGGGCCCCCGACAGTATTTGAAAACTCACAGCGAGGTTCAGTATAGCGAAATTAACCAAATGTTTTGAACACCCTTTCAAAACCTGCATAATCTAATATGTACAGTTATGTAGACACTTGGTATTTCTTGTGGTTTTTGTACACTGAAAAAAATACAAATAATAATTGGTTATTCCCTTTATTCTGCGATAAAAATCAAAAGATTACAAAATCGTACATATAAGTATACATGCGTAGATCCCGTTTTAAACCTATGCATTTAATATATACATATATATAAAAGATCATTAGTTTTGTTTTTCAGATTGCCAAGTTTTTCTCTTTGTTAGAAAGTACATTTTTTCGGCATGCGCCCTTTTGAGTTTAACTTTCGACTATTTAGCAACTGGTAGCTTACATACAGGCTTGTGCTTGTCGATTTCAATGCCAGGACGAGTAAGGAAGAGATCTTTGGTTAAATTGTCGGAAAATTCTGCCTCCACTTTGAAATATTCGATAAGGGACTGAGGCCGATCGAATCTGGCGGAGAATACAATATTATTTTTATGCATAAAAAGGTCCATAAAGCTACATGGGTAATGCCAGGCCGAAAAAAAGAGAATTTAAATCGAAACTGTTGTGATTGACAGAAGACGTACGTATGTATACAGCTTGAAATTGTGCACGCCATGAAAA